ATCCACTGTGCTTTCTCCAAATCTTATCCTGGGTAACTGTTGCCACATTCAGTAGTCCCTGCAATTGCTATGTATAAATCTCTTTAAACAGTAAAATTGCTTAACTTATTTTAACACTTTTGTAAACTTTCTTGGAAAATTCCATTTGGCTTGAATTCATTTTAATCTGAGAGCTAAAGCAGATTTTAAAGGAAGTTTTGCAGAATTTAAAGAAAACTTACCACATCTGCTTTTAGCTAATATGATGTCTAAAAATACCAATTTCAAAATTAGATAAATGTAGTTTGTCTTCTTGCAATTACACATTTTGATTGAGTCTGATGTGACATCATACGCATTTTTTCATGGGTTTTTTTTTCTTTCTTACAGATAATTTTGCCCACAGAACAGCAGTCCGGCATGCACTAGCAAATGACAAAGACTGGCAGGGAAAATTCATCTCTGCAGCTCTCCCCTTGGTAGAGAAGCAGCACAGTGAGGTCGCTTATCTGGTGCCCTGGTGTCAGCTCGGGAAGCCTTCAAAGGAAGGGGGTGAGCTTATATTTTCTTTTGCTGATTAAAGCTACTGACACTAACAAAAAATGGCTTAAAGTTTAAACCAGATATTGCACAGTTTTTTGACCCTTTACGTAACAAATGCATGTACGTGCACCCATGTGGAAAAGGTGGCATAACACAGTGAGGGACAGAGTTTTTCAGAAGGATTTTACACTAACATACATCAATAGCTGACTGGAGCTGACTGATCATCAAGGTTGTTAATGATCAGGACGGTGACTTGGTAAATGAACGTGCAAAATGGCAGTGCCATAGTAGTGGTCAGAGCAGTCATCCCAGACTTCCTTTGTCTGTCCATCAGTGAGAGGACATTTTCTGGATAATCATTGTTCTCTTTCACAGAGATTTTCCTCTTATCAATTTGCTTTGATGTTACTACTTCTTTCACATAAAGTTTAAAAGATTCCTTACTTTTTAAAAGATACGTGAAAGTCAAACATAAGGATCTGCGCCTTGATCATGCCAGGTACGGAGGTGAGACTGATCAAGCTGTAGTTCTGCAGTTCTTCCTTATGCCCCTTTTTGTAACAGTCATACGTTAGGTGTAGAAGTCACATGTCTTTGTATTTTAATTCTCTCTGTAGCAAATTTGATAGTAATATTGGCTGTTCCCCAATTTATGAACATTGGCAGGCTTTCTTGCATGAAGTGACAGGGAACAGACCTTGCTTCAGCCCTCAGCACATGTGTAACTACAGTAATTTTTGTTCTTTATTTCCTTTATTCAGGATTTGGAACTTTATGCTGCTGCTGTTGAATTTGAAAGCAGTCCAGTTTTCTGTAAAGTCTGGAGAGATGACTTCAAACACTTTTGTAGTTTATCTCCAGCCTGTTGCTGGAGAGTGACACCAGACACTGCCAAGTAGCGAGTGTCTGACTTTCTATTACTGAAGTAACTACGTGAACAGAAAGAAGACAAGTAACTTTTAGCAGGACTGGAGGGTTTTTGGCCAATTATGCCATTTCTATACAAATAGGGGAGGTCACTTGGCACAGCAGAGGTGCTAAACTAGTCCTGCTCTTTTGGTCATGCTATCAGATCTTACTGTGACCAACTGCCAGGAGTCAAAGGAGTTTGTAATGTCATGAATCACTTCAATGCCAGAAAACATCTCCAGTCTTAGAAAAGACACCCAGCATTGCTCAAGCAGATGCCCAAATCCCTCAAACAAGTATGAGCACTTGAGGTGTCTGAAAAGTATTCTGAATAGCCCAAAATCTCTATGCACCATTGAAAATTGCAAAGTTGGGCTTTGTGTGAAGCCTTTTGTTCTTCAGGGCCCTGGTACTTAGACTGACACTTCAACTAACTGTTGTTAGTGAGCTTGTGCTTTTGTGATCCTCTGGAAGGTGTGAGTTCTTGTGTATGTTGGGAAGAAGGGGCAGTTTCCTGCTGTCCCCACATGACAGGGAAACGTTATGCTGGTCTCACAGCAAATACACTGTGACCATGAGACATGGTTCAAGATTGGTGTATTAATTTGTATTTCCTTCCTTGTGGTAGTGTTTGCCTTCTCTTCTAGGTGTATATGAATGGGTTACTTTCCAGATGAAGCCTGGTGGGCCAGCCTTGTGGGGTGAAGCATTTCGAGCTGCAATCAATGCTCACATCAACACAGGTTATACCAAGCTGATCGGTGTTTTCCACACAGAATATGGATTACTTAACACAGGTTCTCATCAATTTCTGATACAGACTTTGGAATAGGAAGGGGCAGAGGCAGAGGGGCAAGCCACTGTCCTGGATCAGGATTGGCTGGCTTGCTGAAAATGTTGGTGTGGATCACTGAAGTCCTGTAAACAGTCCTTGAACCCAGCTTTGTATATTGGATTATAGACTTAAGCCAGTTGCCTCAATCTTAAAAGACTCTCAGATCTGATATTAAAGTCAAATGATGCAATGGCTCAGTGAAAGATCATCTCACCACTGGCATGCCTGGAGAATTGTTTCTGATAACTGGAAGGCATGTAACAGATGAAGGCAGATTGCTATGACTTAGAGTACGTCTTGTATTGCAGCATAATAGTGCTCAGCTGACTTTATGTCTACTTTCTCAGTCCATGTGTTGTGGTGGAACGAGAACCCAGATGACCGGGCAGCAGGAAGACACAGGGCCCATGAAGATGCCAGAGTTGTAGCAGCTGGTAAGACATGATGAATCTAGAGCACTTACTTGTGTTGCTTGCATGCATGCTGAGAAAAGTACTACTTTTCATTGGAATATTGTCTTAATTAAACATGTATTTAATTTTAGTGCGTGACAGTGTCAGATTCTTGGAGTCCCAGCAAAATATGCTTCTGATTCCTCTGCAATGCTCACCACTCAAGTAACGTTCTTCTAAAGGATGTAACTGATGGCAGAAGAGACAAGATGGAAGTGCTGTCAGCAAGTGACATGGACCCTCATACCCTCAGGAGCTGAGCTGTTCTTCAGTTGACAAAAAATGGATGCAAAATGCTGATCCACTGGCAGTGTAAATCAGCACTCTGATACTAAAACCAGGAGTTTATGGTGATGTTCCTACATCTCCAGGACAAAGAACTTGAGCCAAATCATGACACAAACCATGCATCACCAATCTTCTATTTTAATCCCCAAGTTCTGAATAATTTTTTGCATAGCTAGATCACTTACTAAACTGAGAAAGTTAAGTGCTCTTGTCCAGCATTCCAGCCACGGATGGTATAATTTTTATAACATACTTTGATGCCCCTTATAATTATCACATCTTAGTTATTCTATACAGTTTTAAGAAGGAAAGCTCCCACAAATATCTTACCCAATTATGTTTTATTCAGAGTTCTCACTGGCATACTTTATATTAATTTGGAGCAATGTACAACATCAGTGGGGCTGATCAGGTAGTGTATCCTAATGAGCTCTGCCATGAGACTTCTTACAAAATAACTTGTTATGGCTCATTTCAGCCTTTTCCTTTTTTGTTCATTAAACACTGCCTCAAAACTGAGTTATCCACACAAGCTTTGGCTGGGGCATTTTAATATTTGTTTTGGGTGCTAAAGGTGATTAGCCCTTTTTGTTCAATTGTGTCATCAGACTCAACTGATTTACATATGCTGTCATTCTTTGAAATACTTTTTCTCAGACTGTTGAAAGTTAAATAAATGAGCATAAAGCATTAATTCTTAGCATTTGTGGCGCAAGCTCTTACTCTTTTTAACTATGAAATTATAAATCTCATTCTCCAAGTACAGTATTCATTTTGCAGGTCTTGTCTTTTGGTCAACAACAAATTGCTTTAGAACCAGCAAGCTAGAGTGAATAGCAGTAGGGCAGAGGGCACATGGGCTGAGCAGTCAAACTTCTGTTTTGTTTACAGTGGTACAGAGCACCCTCTTCTGCAGTTTATAGGTATTAACTAAAAATTGCAGAGCACTTGGGAGGATTTTCTGCATGTTAATCATGGATCTGCAAGGAGCAGTTGGGTACTGAAGTATCTTAGTGCAGTTTGCCTAATGATTATTGCTTCTCTCTTCTCACAGAAAGCACTAAAACGAGCTGTGGGCCATTGTGCTTGTGTCCCAGGTGGGTGCATGGGATGTGGCGGCTGTAGTTAAGGGAGTGTAACGGGTCCCAGCTGCTATATCCATGTCTTCATACACTGCTCCCTCCAACAAAGCCGTGTTTAGCATTCTCAGGGTGGAACAAACACTACTAACACTACTTCAGAGACTCCTGTCTTACATTTTACAGATCAACCTTTGGAAGTACCAAGAGCTGGTGAACCAGTATATTGTTCAGAACATTGCCTTACAACAGTTCTTTCAAAGGAACATTTTTTTTTACACTAAAAAAACATGGGCTGAAGAGGGGGGGGAGAGAGTTAATTTTTTTTTTTTTTAATTTGAATGCAAGAATTGTTTCATTGTTGGGTTTTTTTTTTTTTTTTGGTTTTTTTTTTTTTTTTTGTTGTTTTTTTTTTGTTTTTTTGTTTTTTTTTTAATTAAAACTGTTTTCTGTAACACCAGCACTGAGAGTAAAGAACATTCAAGATATTAGAGGTGTGCTTTATCCTGAGGTGCCAGCTGGACACTAGATCAAAACAGAAAACCCAGGAAATTAAGAGGCCTAGGCAGTCATCAACCACATGAAGTTCAAAGTGCCAGATTCTGCACCTGGGATGGGGCAACCCCGGCTGTACAGGGAATAAGATGTTAGAAGGCAGCAGGAATGGGCCCTGGCGGGTCCTGGTCGCAGGCAAGTTGAATATGAGTGAGCAGTGCCCTGGCAGCCAGGAGGGCCAGCTCTGTCCTGGGGTGCATCAGGCACAGCATCCGCAGCCAGGCAGGCAGGGGATTGTCTCTCTCTGCTCTGCACTGGGGCAGCCTCACCTTGAGTGCTGGGGGCAGGTTTGGGAGCCACTGGTGCCTTTTGGAACTACCTAAAAACAGAGGCCAGACAAAATTAGGGGAATAAAAAGCAGTTATGTTTATTGAATGGCCTTCAAGATACATTTCAGGCAGATGAAGCTGCTCCCCCCATCCCCAGGAGCTACACCCAAAAATGGACAATGTGTCATGGCTTTTCATACTTTTGTAAGTTTGGTCCATTTGCAGACTGGGGGTTAATCTTCCAAGTACAGCTGTAGGTAATGAAGTCATTTGCACCAAAAACTTGGTGCAAGTTGCTCCCCTCAACTCACTTTTGTTTACATTTCTTAGGGCCTAAGAAAGTAAGGTGTCCTTGATTCCTAGACCTGGAGAGGAATTGTTTTGGCTGACCAAAATGGGAAAACAGTAGCCAACACTCTATATGGAGTTTATACACTAAAGAATTGCAGGATTACAAATATATGAAACATAAAATAGCTAAAATCCTAAGGCATCATTACAACGTAAAAAAGATATTAAGCCACTAGAGAGGGTCAACAAAGATGGTGAAGGACCTTGAGGGGAAGCTGAATGAGGAGCATCTGAGGTCCCTGGGTTTGTTCAGCCTGGAGGAGATTGAGGGGAGACCCCACTGCAATTACAACTTCCTCCTGAGGGGAAGAGGAGGGACAGACACTGACCTTGTCTCTCTGTTACCCAGTGACAGGACCTCAGGGAATGGCCTGAATTTGTGTCAGAGGAGGTTTAGGCTGGGTATTAGAAAAAGATTCTTCCCCCAGAGGGTGGCTAGGCACTGTAACACAGCACTAAGCCTGACAGAGATCAAGTGTTTGGACAATGCTCTTAAGGCATATGGTGTCATTCTTGGGGATGATGTTGTGCAGGACTGGGAATGGGACCTGTTGATCCTGTAGGGTCTCTTCCTACTCAGCATATTCTGTGATTCTGTGAAATTTTAATTCACTTCTTATATCAGGATGAATTTTCCTGATGAGTGTAACTTCAGGAATTGGTTAAATACTGGAACTTGGTTGATAGCGATACTGTAGGCAGTAGCAGACAACATTTTAATATCAGTTTATCCTTGAGCAATCACACTGTTATTCTGCTTTCATTCGTAAACTGCTGTTCAAAATCAAACGAGTGTATAGGGTGTTTTTAGCAAGGAGGGTCAATCAGCAACTCGCATATCTGTAAAAAAAATTCAGAGGCAGGTACTTGAGTTGGGATTAAACATCCAGAGAAGTTGGTTATGCTTTGCAGTTGGATTTGACAGTTAACCAATCACTTGCTAGAGGCCTTTTCATTTACTAACTTTAAGTTTAATGTAGCACTTACCTTTATGTCTTGCATGTCCTCATTTACCTGAAAATAGTATATCTACTCCATACTTGTTTTTAGAGCTACTGAGATCTCATGCATCAAAGTTAACAACAAAACAAAAACCAGGCAAAACTAAAAGCTTCTAGCAGTGCTCCTTGAAATAGCAAATGCAAAAATTACACTTGTGAAGACCAGTGGTGCTATAACAGCTTTATTTTTTACTTAATACAAGGCAATTAGAGTGCCTTTTAATACTTCACATAACAGATATTAGCAAATACAAATATATATACTTTTTTTTTTTTTTTTTTTTTTTTTTTTTTTTTTTAATAAAAAATGAAAATGTCCATTTAAGGATTTAACTTAGAAATTTCAGTTGTGAAATCTCTCTAGATTTTTGCAAAGTTAACAGATATTCCAGTGCAAAAATAGATCCCATCACAGATAGCATAAAGTGCTTGGAACAAAGGACCAACTATAATTCAGGAGGGAAAGATAAGCACAACAGTAGTTGTTTAACCATGGGGAAAATACAATAACTCCTTACTGAAATACAAACGTACTACAAAGAGGGATGCAACATATCGATAGTACTGAAGTTTAAAATAAGTTAACACCTCAGTGTAGTTTCATTATTAAAAGTGGTTCACATGTGTATGATTCTAGAGTGATTTTTCCCCAACACATACTTAAGTAAAAATTAGTGGCTGTCTGAACATATTCCATGACCAGTCTTCATGCCAGTGTTGCATTATGCTGTCTGTTCAGTACAAACAATGCAGATCAGAGCTGTGAAGTAGTTTGGTTAATATCCACATTTACTGCAATATTTTGTCACAGATAGCACACCCTGTAAGCATGACAGTCATGGGGCAATAGAAATCAAGAATCTTTTTGGTGGGCTAAGGAAAGTGTATTACCATGTAACTGTTGTTTCCTGATACACGAAAAATTTAAATGAGCAGTTACCAAGAGAAAACCACAGCCCTTTCAGGACCAAATCTGAATCCTCCTAGAACTCATTCTGGCTCTACATGCACTAGTTTGGTGCAGTGCAAAACGTTAGCCCTTCACTTCAGTGATGTAATGCTGATTTGTAATAGCGACTTTTAGCAGTGGCAAGACTCCAGGACATGCTACTTGTTTAAATGATACGGCAACATACTTGCAAGCCTGTTCTGGAGTAGTCATGGCTGTAACTCTGCTGTTTCTGCACCTGGAAGTCTGGTGTATTCATCACCCTGTAACTCATCCCCATAGAGTGATGATGTCATAAAGGTAATAACAAAGTATGTTTTCAGTGAGGTATACCAATCCCCTTTACACTCCTTTTCTCAATCCCCTTAGCAATGAATTATACAGATTAAAAAAAAAAAAAAAAGTATGAAAAAGGCACTTCAGCAGAGCCTGTACTAAGCTCTTACTTTACCCCAAGGCAGGACACAGAGGGACAAGGAACTTGGTTTAACTGTGTTTTAAAAATGTTGAGTTGGTCAGTGTTACCAAGTATACTTGGAAATATGTAATTAATCTTCTTCAGGCTCATGCCAGCCATTTCAGTATTTGCTGGGCTGCTATGGTCATTCACAGAAGAAAATGGTCCATGACTGATTCATGGAGTAGCATCAAAACTAGTGCAGAACCTCTGTGGGTATTTAAGGCAGAGGCATGGCATACAGGAACAGCTCAGGAACTGCACTTGTGTTCAAACCACATTACTGAACCAATTTTCAAATGTAAAAGCAACACAGAGGGGCCCTAAAAGCATACTTTCCCATGACCGTTGTACAATGTGAACAAGAATTGGTTGTTCTTGCTATATAATTTCCCCTCTAATAATAGTCTGGCTTTGTAAAACTTGAAAAACTTGACTGATGAACTGTAGCACTATTATCTTGAACTCTCTTGTTTTTCAGGGGGATTTTTTACTGAAACAGTTGTTTGTCACGTGTATAATAAGGGTGTATAATCCAGTTAGGGATCACCTAATGACTGAAACTACACTGCACAACAGAAGCAGAAACTTACACATCAATGTTAGACCAGTTTCCAAACAGTAAAATTTTAGGTGAACAACTTGCAGTTGTTTGTAGATAGCAGCTGATTGCTAGAATCTGGAACATGGTCAGATCATGAATGCAGCTATCCACCACATGGACAGAAAGAGAGCATAGCATTACAGGCATAATGTAAAGAAATACCATGGCTACAAAGATCAACTGAAAGCATTTCCAATCCCTAATTATGCTACCTACCTATTTAAAGTCATAAATAATACTGTTTAAAAAAAAATAATCTACATCTTGTTTCTAGTTTTATCTGGCAAAGCCAGAAACAGCAACATGCTTGTGCTAAGCAGTAATTCCAGATGTTGGGTACCTTTCTGGTGCAAAGCAGGGGTTAAAGAGCAGATATTACAAATCTGAGTGACAGCTCATGATTTAGAATTTGCTCTTGGCATTAGCAGCTTGTACAACTACTGAGTTTGCTGCTGTGGTCCAAACCCTATGTCTGCTTCTCACCCACTTCTTTCTACTAGGCGTTCATGCAGCTGCAGCAGTACCTCAGAGGAGCAAGAAAGTACTTAACTGCACAAACACCTAGTCAGAGTATGGTGTTGATTGTGATGCTGGTGGGACAATCAAGCATTTGGAGGGTTCACAGTTCTTCATATCGCCACTTGCTGATGAAGATGTGTGGTTATGACGGCCTGTCTCTTGCCATCCCACCTGCACAGTACTGCTTTGTGGCCTCAGCTTTGTCACCACTGACCTACACCAGCCTAGAGAAAGCCAGCTTGTCAGGTAAGTTTTTACAACCTAGGGCTACAACACTGGTGGTGACTTTTCTTGCCATGGACTGTTTTGGTGCATTCATTGCCAGCAATGGATATAGCACCAGCACACTCCCACTCCTGACATGAATGTTCTAAAGACTAAAACATGCATGTCCTAAGTATCTGTAAATAACCACTGGCCATGATTTCTCAATGTAGTATTTTAGCAACCCTAATAAAAACATACTGTACAGAACAAGATACAGTATAGTTGAAAGCCCACAGCATCTCATGGGTGCTTTACCACAGCTTCAGAGTTATACTGTAATGAGCTAAGTTCAAGTCTTTCACTGGAGAACAGTACAAGACGACTCCATGAGGCACTGCCCCTGTAAAGGAATTGTTTTCATTGCATTGAATTGCATTGCATTGAATGGTTATCAGTAGAGTGTCCAGTTACTTTTCCTCTAGCTTCTTTGGGAGTATCCTATCCCAGGAAAAGGAAGTTTGCATTCTGCTCATCATCTCTTTGACGAAATTGGCTCACACACAACTTTCTTTTACCTTCTCATCTTGCAGAAAGGAGTTAAGGATTGCAATGTCTACCACAGTCTGGTTTTTGTGCAATGACAGGTCCTTAGTATGGTCGTCATCACTTTGGTCCTTAGCAAAATTTACAAAAACCTACAAGAAAAAAAGGCCATGTCAAACACCACCACAGTATTTCATGAATTCAGGGCATTTTAAGCACTGGATATCCTGAAATAGTCCTGAGATTCAGTACTCTACTTCATTTAAACTTCATTCTTGCCCTTATAAGATAGGTCAATCACATTGGAAGATGTACTCCTACCTCTGTAAAAGAAGCTTTTGGCATCCAGGCTACTAAAAACTTACTTGGTCAAGTGTGGTCTGAGAAACGGAGTAGTCTTCTATGTGGAGTCTCTTCTTGTTCTGGGACAGAATACTGAATATTTTGGCCAGGGAGGATGGTGAAGAGGGAAGTTGGTACTGCAGCATATTCCGATGTTTTTCCTTTAGGACACTTCCAGGGAAGGCATGCCCAAAGAACTCCTCAACAGGTTTCAGATCTGGGTTTGCCCCTGCAATTCTCACCACTATGGTGTAACCATCTCCAAACCTGCAAACAAAAATGTCAGTACAAGAGTTAAGTGCTTCTGAAATACAAGTGATGCTAAAAACTCAACAGCATTTCCTATAGTCAGAATAGCAATGGAAGGAACTAAATGCATGAGGAACTAAGCCTAACTGTATCTCCCTAAAAATGCAAACTCTGTGGTGTAAGCAAAAAAACACCCCACATACCTGTTTTTTAGGTGCTGGACACTGCCCAGACACCTGAATCGCCCATTGACCATTATTGCCATTCGAGTGCACAGGGCTTCACATTCTTCCATGCTGCAAGGAGAGATAACTTTATTAGTACTGCAAACAGCATTGAAGGGCAGAGCAGAAAGGCTGAGCTTAGCATCCAGCCTTGGCAGATGTAAAAGCCAAGGTATGACACAAGTGGGATGCTACTTACCTGTGAGATGTGAGCACCACTGATCTCCCCTCCTTGATTACACTCAGAGCACAGTTCCACAAGAAGCGACGTGCTTTGGGATCCATCCCTGTTGTTGGCTCATCCTGCAAAAGGTATGCAAAAAACAGATTATGCTGCTACATTCTGATGAAAAATACCTCATCTTTGAAATGACTGTCCATTCCTGATTATGGAAACATTGAAAATATGCTAGTTTGATTTATTTTCTAAAATGACAAAGTCATTTATGCACTGGATTTTGAATGTCTTCATTCCAACATGTTTTTCTATTTTTCAAGAAAAATATTGATGAGCAAAGGTTGTCGACTCACCAGGAACACCACAGGTGGCCCTCCAATGAGGGCAATGGCTGTGGAAAGCTTGCGTCTGTTCCCTCCACTGTAATTCCCAGCGTATTTTTCTCCGTATTTCACAAGGCCCAGTTTCCGAATTGCCCACTCGCCAACCTATGACATACAGCATTACACCACCTTCAATCAAGCACAGCAACATCTGCACAAAGATTTTTCTGACAAGCTTTGGCTTCAAAAGCAGCTTTCAGAAGGGCTGTTCATCTGAGGATCTAATGTGGCATGGATACGGATTTTGAAACACCCTGTGCACCTCTGGATCAGGATATATGTAACCCTGTCCCTAGGAGGCCTGAAAAATCAAATGGCTGCAGCTTATCAGCTGGTGAGCATGAGTTCAACATCAGCTGAGCCACATTAACCAGCGGCCTAGTGCTTTTAGCAGCACCAGCTTTAGTGAGCTTTCCTATTACTGCGGGCTTACAGCAGGGACACGGACACTACTGACCTACAGCCATCACACCATGGTGCATCTTAGCCCTTTGGATAGATGGAATTCGGTTTGTTGTTCAGCAGTATCCCTAATGGTGCCAACAGGCAGACATTGCTGCCCTGCAGTGTGTTATGGGGAAGAGATTCTGCTGCTACCCAAATCATACCCAGAACTGTGTCGCCCTGATTTTGTA